CGGGCGGGGAGCGCGATTGGCGCGGAGGCGCGGAGGAGTGGCGGCCGCGCTGTGAATGGAGCCGAGCGGCTGGTTTGCCACAGGCTGCCTCCGCGTGAGGGGGGTACGGCGATCCTTAAAGTGAGCCGGGCGTCTCGGGGCAGAGCAATGAGGCGAAGAGGAAAGGGCCACGGGAGCTGCTTGCCTTTTGGATAATTCCTGCCCTCGAGTCTTGTGCAGCGGCGCTCTCTTGTCTGTGTGTGGCATGTGGAGCTGGGATTTTATATGGCATTTGCGATCCAAGGGAGATCATGCTTCCTTTTCTTTAAATTCATTGCTTTGGGTACAGTATATCTCTCTCTGTCTTATTCTTCTCTGGTAGCGGGGTGGGCCGGGAGGGACGATCGTGACACCAGAGGGAATGTTTACTTGTGCAGAAGTCTTTCTCATGTGGAAACACGCTGCTCCCTAACTCCTGGCTAAGCAGACTACAGTTCGCCAACTTTGCTGCCGTACAGCACGCGTAACTCTTTGGCAGGATGGCAGACAAAAGAACAGCCGGTGCAAAGCAATAGGGGATTCATAGCAAGGAGGAGGAAAGAAAATCACAAACCTTTCACCTGCACCATTGACATCCGACGATTGTCACAGCAGCAGTTGCGACGGGACAAGCTGAAGCCACCATGCGCAGGTCTAGCACCGATGAGTCGACCTATCACAGGAGCCCTTCCCTGGACAGCAAGGATTACAGTTTCCCAAATGGCGCCTTTCGTCGCTACAGCAGCATGTATGGCGGCCAGTTTGGGACTGCCAGCAACTCTTTTTTTGGATTTCACACCAACCCAGGCCCTAAGGCCACCAAGGCTAAGTACACGTCCCCCAAGGGAAACAAGTACGTTGTCTTTTACCTGGATCTCTCGTTTATTTTTCTCCTAGAACTGAAGAGGTGCAGCATGGCTCACAACTGCCTGCAGTGTATCAAGTACCTAATGTTTGTCTTCAACCTTCTCTTCTGGGTGAGTACATGTTTGGCCTGTGAGACAGTTGCATTTGTATCTGCTTACTGAGATGGAAGGTGAACTTGTTGCTGCTTTTAAACTTAGAAGTTTAAACTTGAACAAAGTGCTGCCTGGGCTCCACTTGGCCTCCTTACTTTGTGTGGACAACCTACTGAGGGTTTCCTTCACCCTCTCATTTCCTGTCCTTCAACTGTGTTTCAAAACCATGATACAAGGCAACAGACTGTGTTTATAGAGGCCGGTTGCATGAATGCTGTCATCACTTTGTTCCAGTGAGAACCATACACTCCTTTTGTTGCCCTGATCTTTCATTCTCATGTGTGCTTGCCTCAAAAGTCATATATAGTCTTAGAGAAATCGGTGAAGCTATTCATGATTTTACAGTTGAGTACGTGCTTACATCCATTGCTGTATCGTGGATGGACTCTTGGTACATCACAACATTACAGCCTGTATCAGGAATTTCCAGGTCATCATTCTCTGTCCCAGTCAGTGATGGGTTCTAGCACTGGCATCCCTCCCTGAAGTGGAGGGAGACCAGAGCCTTCCTTACTTCTTCTGGGACTGCCACTCTGTGGCAAGAGCTTATCAAATCACTACAGGGCATGCGTGTGACAGCAGGACACTGTGATGTGACATATGGGTGTGCATCTCCACATCATCTTTCTAATAAGTGAACTGTCTGTCAACAGCAGGGACGTTGGGCATTTCACTGCCATGAAATGGAGCACAGGCTGTAGATAGAGATGAAAGAAGCTCAGTGGGGGGTTCATGTTACAAATGCTGTTTGTCCTGTAAAAAAAGAGAGTAGCATGATTGCTAGAGGAGGGGAGTAAGTGATTTCTAGTCAAAGTCTTCCTTCCACGTTCATATGTGGGAGGGTCTGTTGTGAGGTCCTCAGGAGGTGCCTTTAAATGCCTCGTTCTTCCAGAGTGGCTTATTAACATGCTGAGGGAAATAGCAGGTATTGTGGATTGACACCAATTTTGTCCTGGTGTCACTTAAGGAGGAGGTGTGTGTTTGCAGTTGGATGTTGCCATGTCCGTGTTAATGATTGTCTGTGCTCTCATGAATTGTCAGAGGTACACGGAGAGCTGTGAGTAAGATGGAAAGAGCTGTTCTCTAGTGTGTGCTGCTGTACAGCTGTTTAAAACCTGGCATGCTGCAGTGCTGATGCATCAGAAAACACAAAGTGTAGGCAACTTTTGCTGACCTGAGTCATACCAAGGAGTCAGGATGTAATAAACTAGTCTAAGTCCACTCAATTGGCGTGGTACTAATCAGAGCTGTGAAACACAAGAAGGGCGTTCTTTTTATACCCCAGATAAGCTGGTAGAAAGATTGTTGGTAAGGCTGTAGTCTGTCTTTCAACTCTGACTCTGGTTGCTCCTGTGTTCCTAAATATTGTCTAGTATTTGTTGCAGCTTACTCCAGTCATTTCTGAAAAAGACATAAACAATATCTTTGTTGCTCTTGTAAGCTTTGTGTCTCTACTGACCATCCCTGGTCAAGATTATAGCAATGACACCTAGTTGAAGTGTTTGCTACAGAAATGCAGTAGGATGCTGGAATTAATAGCTCTTTTCAGGACTATGCATGGCACTGCCACAAAGGAGTGGCATTCACTGCATTCTCATTCCTTTTACAATATTCATCTTCCACTGAAGCATATGCATATGATAAGAAGAGGTACTGCTGCAAGTAACGTGTGTTTATGTACAAAGGGAAGATGGCACATAATATGTCTTTGGCATGCTTTTCAGTAGGAAAACCTTAATCCTTTGAGAGAGAAGGAAAGGCTTTTGTCTTTCTCCTGAAACCATGAAAGCTATTCTCAAATGCTTGGAGGGAGAGGAAAGAGAGGGATCCCAAAAAGAGAGAATAACTATATGCCAACTGGGCTCTTCCTGAAGTAAAGCATACAAGCAGGGGAGTGGATGGTGTCAAATACTGCAGCACGATTTCTGTTTTGTTTCCCTTCCACATGCTACCTGCACAGCAGGAGTGATTGATGATGATCATGTCCAAATGAGGTTTGCACAGCATGTACTTATAATAGATGCAGCTCTTCACCATCTCGTAGTGAAGAAAGTAATTAAAAAGAGATGATTTTAAGAAGTACTGGCTTAAGCTGACCTATCTTTAGTAAAAGCAGAAAAAAATTTTCATTTCTAGTGATCAAAAATCTTGGAATGATTACAGGTTGATGATGATGCCGTTTTGTTTTTCAAGTTGTCAGTTATTTATTGTGTTTTACTTTATGAAATTAAAGGAAAAGCATCTCTGCAAGAAGTCAGGATTTGTCTTTGTATAAATGCTCATGGAAGTTTTGCTATCCCTACCTTTCCCCTCCACCCTTCTGTAGGTAGTTGGTTAGTGACAGACAACAGTAAGTGGAAAGAAGAATTTTCTTCTTTCTTTCTGCTTTGACCTCCAAATAAAACCTGCAGTTATTTCCATGTATAGAGAGCAGTCATTGTATTAAATGAATTAAATGTCTATTATAGGTTGTTCCTGCTTTTTATTCTGTTTTGAAAAAATGCTTTGATTTCCTTCAGAAATCATATTTTCATTTTCTTCTTCCTGTTTGTGTTTATCAACTCCAGTCCTTTTTGTGCATCACCACAGCCTATTTCCCAGTACTTTCAGCTGTCTTTCCCATAGTGGGGCAGAAAAGTATTTCTCAACCCTGTGCAACTCCAGAGGGATTGGTGCTACATTTCTGAAGAACTTTTTCTTATAAGTCTAGCAAATTTATAGGAAACAAAATCTCAGAGACCTTGATTTTAAACATTCCTGGCAAGCTTTATTGGATTAGGTGCTGTACTTGTGCTGTAAAATTTTTAAAAGCTGTCATACAACTGTTAAAGCAGAGCAAATTTCTCCTCCCATTTCTGATGGTTGAAAGAAACACAAAGCTTCCTCACAAGTGTCAGAGGCTGAGGTGCCTTGTCAGTGTTGATGCTGAATCAGTCCATTGGTACAGCAGACCAGCAGCTATTAATGTAGAGAATGAAATCTGATAGTCTGAGAATAGCTCTTTTCACCATGAAGAGTCCTGCACAAATTTCTCTTGGTGCATTTGCAACTCTGGGGTATTAAAGTATTGAAACACAGATAAAACAGTATTAGACAGCAGTGCTGCCGCTCTAATGGGAATTGCCATTCAGAGGCCATTTGCTGGAATATTGCCAGATGCAGAGGAGCCATCATTGTATCACTGCACTGGTTTGTAAGTTCCCAAAATAACTTCTGTCACCTGATATATAATACTTGACTGACTTCATTCATTTTTATGGACTTTGATTTTCTTTTGTTGAATTGCTGAACCCTAGAGACTGAAGATCACCTCAGATGATCGCAAAGCAGAATATTTTTATTTCATAATGAAATACTGTATTCTACTGTGAAATACCCAGGGAAAAACATTTGTTTTCTGCATTCTGTCCTCCAAACATGCAGTGTTTCTTTATCACAGTCCGTAAAATGAACTATTTTCTTTCTGTGCTAGTAATCCAAGACTCTGCTTGCCTGCTTTTTTTTTTGTTTGTTTTGGTTTTTTTATTGTTGTTGTTGTTAAAAAAAGATAGGATATATCCTAAGGGCTGAGAAAGTGCTATAGAAAGAAAAATATCATCTCCTTAATCCCCCTTGGCTTACACCAGCATTCCCACTTTCTTTAGCTTCTAACTCCCAAACCTCCAAGACTCAAAAAAGGAAATGCACAGAACTGTACTTTTGTTACCAGTGGCTCTTGCTTTCCTTAAGAGACCCTGTACTAGAGAAAACTAACTAGATCAGTCCTGATTTGCTATTTCAAAGAACAGTTATAGACTCTTCAGGTAATGCTTTAACCAATATTGAAATTCAGTAAAACATAGAGTTGGCAAAAGGCTGTTGTTATACAAGATACAGAGAGGGAACAGCCACAAAAAGAAAGGAGACAAAGAAGTAGTATTATTATTTATCAAACTTACCAGTAATCATTTATATGCATATATCTCCTTTCCATTGTTAAAACATACTGAAGTTGTATGCACTATAAAGAAGTCTTCAAAATGGTATGTGAGGACTCTAATTCTCTCAAAGACGCAGGGGAATATTCTCTTGCAGCTTGAAAACTTGGGAGTTGCCATCTGCTGGACACACTATGGCTGGGATGAGCAGCTGGAGCTCTGCTTTCCACCTTCCTGCCTACAGAGATGAGGCAAGGCACTCGGCCTCCTGCTTTGTTTTGGCATTTGGTCCGTATAAAATTCCCAACTGATACAGCTTTGACAATGATGTATCTTGGCTTCTGAGTCACAAAGTGGGAATCTGAAACATATGGAAACACAGAGCCAAGGAAGTGTCAGGTACCACTAGTGAATGCGCTAGGATCAGTGTGGAAAAACCCCAAGAACCTATTTCATCTGATTCCAGGGACCAACTGTGAGTCTCTTGTTCTGGCTTTGCCGCTGTTGATACTTCATGGACCACAGTTTGGGAAGCTCTGCACTAATGAGTACTGCTGGCCTGGTGCACTAGTGATACTGCCAGCAATCTTTCTTACTTGGATGTAATTAGAAAGAAGGAGGGGAAGTAAATAAAATAAGAAATCCCTTATTTCTGGCATATTTTTCCTTCCTTGCACTTCAACTTCAGTAGCACAGGTATGTCTTGTAAGAACTAGGCAAATGTTTATAACATCTGGAAGACTGAGTGTGCAGGGCAGCTGGAAAAAGGAAGAGCTTGGTCTGAAAATGCACCATGAGGCATGGTCTTTAAGTGATCCAGATTTGGCCAGAGGGTGGAGGCAGAGGGGTGTCTCTTCATTTCTTTGTACCTCATTGGGAAACCATCTGACATTATTAGCTTGAGAGGAGAGCTGTTAGCTGAGCTTGTTCCCAAAGCTGGGGAATTCCGTGAGAGAAGCAGCTGATTTTGTTGAATTGGATTCCTTGTCCTTCATTTGCATCCTCCATCCTCCATCAGTCAGCTGAATGAGATTGATGGCT